ACAGGGACCTTTCGGTTTTTGGAATCGAGCCGAGTAGGACCACAAGGGTAGCAAAGCTCTCCCTCAAGAGTTTTAACACTGCTGCATTCCCAGGACTCGAACTCGATACCACTGGTTAAGCTGGAAGACACCTAAGTCATCTCATTCAAGCGTTTAAGAAACTAATTATAACATGTGCTTTCGAATTAAATATTCATTAATATTCTTCACATTTATTATACAGGGCCAAAAGTGACGTGAATATTAATTAGTCATTTCTAGTAAGATTCATCAAATCTTGGATTATGATAAAAGCACGAGTCGTTTGTCATCTAGAAAGGGAAATATAAACAAAATGAAACATCATGTTATACTTATTTGGGGCCAAATTTCATTTTTGGTCCATTATATTGGTCATTTTCCAGAAATGGTCCACTAATTTGCCGGACATCAAACTTGATACAATAAGTTATAAAATTCATCATTTTTGGTACATTAATCACTCGGAAGCCTACGTGGCGGACATCAAACTTATCCACGTATTCGCTCGATAGAATGCCACGTATGCTTATGGACCAAAAATGATGAATTTTACAACTTATTGTATCAGGTTTGATGTCTGCCAAATTAGTGGACAATTTCTGGAAAATGGCCAATATATTGGACCAAAAATGAAATTTTGCCACTTATTTGGGGTGTAACTAGTGTGTGAGGAATCCACTAAGCAATTTGTGAGGTAAAAATTCAATTTTGGTCCGCTAACTTGTCCACTGTCCACTTTTGGTCCGCTAACTTGTTCCTCATCAGAAATGGTCCATTATGTTACATTTTTCATCAGATTTAGTACACTACTTCAGTTGGCGGGATTACGAGATGACGTGGACCGGGATTGGAACTACGTGGAGGGATAAGATGTTGACGTGGTAGGATAAATAACTGATTTGCATCTCGTAATCCCGGGCCACGGGATTAGCGTACTAAAATTGATGAAAAATGTAACATAATGAACCTTTTTTGATGAAGGACAAGTTAGTGTACCAAAAGTGGACAATGGACAAAATAGCGGACCAAAATTGGATTTTTGCCCAATTTGTGAAGACCGCCTGGGATCTTTGACTTGGAACGATTCAGCCACGCCGAGTCAATTGCTCTTTTCCCCCACACTGCAATTAATTTACAGAAATGGCTTTTTTTGTCTTTCTTAATAGAATATCATATCTAATGTTTAAGGGAATGCTACAGTCCCGTTACGAAATCATTCCGTCAGAGTTTTTAACCGTTAAATCAACTATTCTTCACGGTTACATGATGATTTAACTGTTACAGGTCCCAACAGAATGGTTTTGTAACAGACCGTAGCATTTAAAAGCACGAATTAGGATATTGATTTTTTTTTTTTTTTTTTTCGATTACAAATAACATTAACAAACAACAGGGATTTAAGCTCCGAACGAAACAAAAGAGGTGATAGAAAATACGAGAGACAGTCCTTCCACAAGAAGGGTCCCGTTGCAGACAAAGCCCGCTTAGCTAACTGGTGGGCAACAATATTATGATTCCGCTCTATATGACAACAAGACCCACAATTGAGATTTGGCAAAAGCGATAGAATGTCCACGTAAACTTGATGCAAGGTGTCATTAGGCGATAGTTCAGACAAACCACAAATAACTTCTAGGGCATCCGTTTTAGCATATTGAATTGAAAATCCTGAGTCGTGAGCAAAACGCAATCCAAACCTGAGAGCTAGAGCTTCGGCTACAACTGAAGAAAAAGAACCTGAAAGAGTAGTTTCAAAAGCCGCCCAACACACACCTTCGGAGTCGCCTATCCAACCACCCAATCCAATAATCGAATCATGAACCGATGCGTCGCAAAATAAAGTAAGTCCATTGTGACAATTCACAGAACCCACCCACCTATCGATAGTTGATGTGAACATGCCACGTTCAAAATGTTTCTCTGGAGAGTGTGTAATTCAGCAATTCCTTCATCGGAAAATCTTGCTAGGAGGCATTTCGGGGTGGATGCAAAGTGCCCAAGATGTTCGAGTTGGGAATGCAATGCTCATATATTTTTTGAACGCTTCTGGTCAAAAAAGTTGTGGAAAACTTCAGGGTGGTGGGCCACTCTCGCACCTTTACGAGGATTGAATTTTCCTGACATTTTCTGTGACATTCTGGACAATGTTCGTGGAGATGAATTTCCAAGGTTTGCTTACTTGCTATGGATTATTTGGAATGAACGGAACCGCATCAAACACGGTTTGAAAGCCAGAACAGTGGATCAAGCTTGTTCAATCGGGCTTACGTGGCAAGAGGAGGCCTATAAAGCACGATCAGGACGCTCCAAATTAGGATATTGTTGTATGTATGCTACAAAAAAAAAAATAACTGACATACTCAATTTTCATAAAGGTCGTGTTGATTACTATTTTCATTTGTGTACGAAAATTTGGCTTATGATGTACGACAACTATATATGGGCTTGATGATGACTATTAAGTAGGATTAAGTTTCTCGAAATACCAATGTTTAACTTATGTAGTTATCAAAATCATAAAGTTAATTAGCAAATAATTTGAAATTATTATCTTGCAACAATACTTATTCTATTGAATTTTGTCACTGGAAATGTAGGGAGGTTTTGATTAAACTTTGGGAGCATTTGACATAAGTTGATTCTGATAGATTTGGCCAAATATCATTATGAGGAGGAGATCAGTTTTCTTCATTATGTTGGTTGTTAGCGTTATTTGAAGTCCACATACATATGAATAATACAAATTTCACAAAAGATTTGGCCCTTATTCTAACTTCAATTGTTGATAAATAACTATATGTTGCTAAGACTAATGAAAAGGCAAAAATGAGATTCTTGTACTTTAAAAGTGATCGCCTTAGAAACGAGAGATCAACAATAAGGAAAAAACGAGATTATTGTCGTTTGCCAACTAGGGGACTTGGAGCTTGACACGTGTTTGCATGCAAGGTGCAACTTTTGATGATGAGACAGGTTTGGACGGTCACTTTGAAAGTTGCCATTCAATGTGGGTTTGAGAGGTCGGTATTTGGTATAAATTAGTGGAACGACACTCCATTTGGATTTTATATTGGCTAAGCCCAACAACAACTAAGACCGTCCAAGTCCAGCCGCAGTCAAATTGTCAGGCACCAATGACCAAGTCCCAGGACCGAGCCCTAGCCCGAGCCGAGTCGGCTGGCTGGCGGGCGCGCAGCGTGCGTGTAGCCGACGCATACACCAACACTTGGTGCATAATTTTGTTGTTGTTGCATAATTTTGTTGTTGTTGCAATTGTGACATCTCTAACCCTCTTTATTATAATAAGAAGACTAATCTCATTTAAGAGTTTTATTGAGATAGGACTTTTGAACCTTTGAATCCCACAACCATTCACTTATACGTGTCCATGCTAACTTTAATCATTTATTTCCCCCTCACTAAAAACCAATTTTAAAAAAATAAATATACCACGAGTATCTACTCAGAATATAGAATTAATTTATACAATTTACTTCAACCCGAATTAAATATTAAATCATAAAAGATTCAATTAAAATTGGTTTTGGTTCCCCCTAAGTTGAGTAACCGTCTCACTCTCCTCAACACTTGCCGAGCAACTTCTCGTTTCCTCGAAACTTTCATATTTATT